CGTGTCCTGCGTGGAGACAAGTAGCTGGTGACCAACAGAAAACTCGACGCCTGTGTGCAAGGTGTCTGGAAAGCCTGGGCCTTCGGGCTTTTGCTGGCTGCCCCGGGGGCTGCCCACCCCCTCCACTAGTGAATGTGCATTTCTGGCATCTAGGCATTTTTTCCCCGCTTCCTCCAGTGTGCTGGACGCTGGCCACAATTAGACGTGGGAATTTCCAAAGCTGGAGGGTGCCTCTCTGGTGGGTCCAGTCTGTGGCCTTGGGGATAAACTGATTGCCAAGTGCAGAGTCAGGAGGAGAGGTTTCCTCTGGTCAGACTGGCACGGACTGGGGTTTGTCTCTGCCTTCCTCTGCAGTGGGGACACGGGCCTCTTCCATCGAAGGAGGTGTTTTAACCTCACGGGTTTCCTGCAGGGCATCAGCGTGGCCCGTGTCCTCTCGCTCTGCCTGGGACACGCACGGGGCTTGGCCTTGACCAGATGCCGCCGGCAGCGTTTGTGGGAACATCTCATTGCAAAGGTCTGTTGTTTGCGTTTTCTGCTTTCTCTCCTTTCATCAGAGGAAAAGTGTGACTTCGACAGGGCCATGTCTCCGGGGCCTCTCGTTCCCATTGGGATGTCCTGTTGCTGAGTGACACGGGAGAGCTCGTCAGAGCAAAGCTCCTCCCTGACCCCAACTTTCTTGCATTCACCAAAAAGCTCTTCCATGCTGGCTGCTTGGGTTCAGTCTCTCACAACCCAGTTAGGAATCTCTCCTCCACTGGACCCCCAGATACACCTGTCAATCATGCTGTCACAGTCACTATGGCAACCAAATGGAAGACGTTCGGGTGTCCCTGGGTCAGGACACTCCCTAGGAAGACCACCCCCTCCTGGGTCTCTGGCAATGCACTGCTCTGCACCGCACCTCAGTTTGTCCACCTGTAAAATGGGCTGATTATACTGGCATGTCTAACACAGATTTCAGGGAGGCAAAATCATTAACATTTGTAAAAGGCATTGAGATCCCCAGACAGAAAGGCCCAGGCACTGAGGCAGCTGTTCCAAATTTCACCTCCTTACATAGGAACACAGGGCTGGAAGGAGACCCCCGGTTATTATGTCCAGTCCGCATTTACAATCTCAACATTTGTTCAAAACCTTCCATAAGAATCATAGAAAGTGAGGGTTGAAGGGACCTCAGGAGGTCACATCTCGCCCAACCCCCTGCTCCAAGCAGGACCAGCCCCAACTACGTCATCCCAGACAGGGCTTTGTCCAGCTGGGTCTTCAAAACCTCCAAAGATAGAGACTCCACCACCTCTCTGGGTAACCCGTTCCAGTGCTTCACAACCCTCCTGGTGAGAAACTTTTTCCTAATATCCAACCTCAACTTCCCTTGCTGCAGCTTGAGCCCATTGCTCCTTGTCCTGTCATCTGCCCCCACTGAGAACAGTCCAGCTCAGGAGTGGGCAAAATGGCAGATCTGGCTGGTGGCTGGACGCCATCTCCCACACGCCCCTGCCCACGTCACTGGGGCAGTTTCCATGGAGATCCCAGCAGGAAGGTGCTGTGACAGTGTGGGGCCGGGTTTCCAAGGAGCCTGGCCCCAGCAGGACGCACGGCAGGGTAGGGAGCTGAAACCTTGCAGCGGTGACAGCATGGTCTGGAGCCAAGGCAGAGCCACGATCCACTACCTGCACGCCCCTTCCCGGGGTACACGGGCTGCAGATCGCAGCTGTGCCCCGGCGCTGCACTGTGCTGTCACCACCTCGAGTTCCCAGCCCCAGAGCAGCCACACTCCCTGCCAGCCCTGCTGGGGCCGGTCTCCACGGAAACCCCATGGAGACCGGCCCCAGCAGGGCTGGCAGGGGCTGGGGCCAGTCTCCATGGAAACCAGCCCCTGTCACAGCGCAGCTGCTGCTGGAGTCTGCAGGAGGGAAAGGGAGTGGTGGGCTCCAGGCAGGGTACCAGGAAGGGGGGTCACCCTTCACCAGGACCTGACAGCCCCACAGTAAGGCAAGGTCCAGTGCTGCACTGGATGATGTGTCGGACTACGGGTCAGAAGATTGTAGATTCAACTCATGGCGTGTTTTTTGCGAATTCTTGTGAGGCCGACGCTTGCCTTTGCTTTTTTCACTGAGCCACATCACAGCCCTTATGCAGCAAAATAGCTCTCCCACAATGCACAGAGGAATGTGCCCATTTGCCCAGCCTCCATTTCAGCCAGAGAAGGACAAAGGGTAACACGAGCACCTGGAGAATGAGGGCATCAGTCCCGCTACCGCTCACATGCTAAGTGAGCACTCTACCATCTAAGATATTTCCCCTGCATGCAAGCACAGATGAGGATTTATAGGGGCCCTGGGCAAAGAGAAAATTGAAGGGTCACCCTTCACCAGCACCTAGGAGCAAGCAGGTAAGCATGGGCCAGTGGCGCAATGGATAACGCGTCTGACTACGAATCAGAAGATTGTAGGTTCAACTCCTGCCTGGCTCGTACTGTCTGCTTTTTCAAAGCCAAGAGCTGTATAGCTCCTGTCCCATCCTATCCCAGTGGCACTGGTGCCAGCAAATGATCACAGATGGTGGGAGTGGGACTGGGACAGGATGTGCTCATGGGGCCTCCTTGCAGCAGACAGCCCCAGGACCCAAGGAATGGGGCATGGAGGCCAGAAACGCATAAAAGGAGGGCCCTCCCAACATGCCTCTGTTGGCCGCTTCCTGAAGGGTGTTGAGGACCAGCACCCTGAGAGAGACAGGCTTGCAGTGCTACCAACTGCAGGCTGGCTAAGAGCAAATACTTTCCTTTGCACAGGAGAGAAACCAGAGAGCTAAGGATTTTCTGCAAAAGTGAGCCTGTAGTCCTCCGCTGACCTAGCAAAGGACAAGGGGCTGACTCAAGGTGGCACGCTGCACTGGCCTCAGGTCTCCAACTCCAGGTGAGGACAGGTTCCCTTTTCATCTGCCCAGGGGCTGCAGCTGAGCCAATTGTAGCCTTGGGTCCACCACGATCCGCTGGCTGGGGAATTGGCT